CTCTTGTAAAATTTTTTTAGTGCCTATTTTAAGAGGTGGGCACCCTATTTATACGGAATGTAAAATAAACAAAAATATAATACGTTTTTATGACGACGATAAAAAACCCATTTTACATTTCAATCCACTCGTTTGTAAAATACTAGCAAAAAGTTGATTTTGTGTCCTAAATATTATGCAAGGCAATATAGAAAGATTATATTAAGTATTGTTTTAATTCACACATACACACACATAGTAACGACACGCCGAAATAAGTGGAACTCGATAAAATGTTTGGATTAATCTGAGATATTAATATAATCATAATAACTAATTAAGCAGATCATATTAGTGCTTTGTTTTACATGTGTCCGTGTCACTGATAACTATGATAGTATATTATGAAACAAGTTTGATAAACACCACCTTAGTCTCGCATTTGATTTTGGCACGATCAGAGTGAGTCTTTAATAAACAAGTGAGAGAAGAAGTTTATAAACTTGTTCCAATCAGTCAGTGGCATATGACGGAAACCCATCAGAACTGATAAAGCCAAAATGCTACCAATGGCTAAAATTTACAGAAAATACCCGATCCCCCCTAAACCTATGCTAGAAGGACCGGAAACATCACCTCGTATCATCTCTGATCAACCCCTTTTTCCCTAATCTTTCAATAAATCAACGCTGTAAGGATCAACTGATAAATCTATTTATTATAATTTCATTATTCCTATTTCCCTTTTATTGAATTAGTTATTTTTTCTATCGTTCCAAAATTTCCATCAAAATTCAAGAAGCAGTGACATACTTCTGGGTCAGTTTGAATTAAAATTTTAGCCAATTTAAAAATAAATTGGGTAAGCATAGGGGTGGTCAATTTGATAGTCATTGTTGGACACTTGACAAAAGCTAAATAAACTTTCATTCATTAAATTACCCTACTTTCATAAATTAGCTGAAAGATACTTAATTCACTTTTATCCATTTGTGTTTTCAATTGCAGTAATTAGATAGGATTATATGATATGCTAAATAGCAAAATAACATTTATGCTTACCGACATTAAGGAAAACGGCCAGCACAGCCAAACTTGCAAACCGACTTAACATGTCGCTCACCTATAGAAACAACGCCGCGATATCGTAAAAAAACACATTATATATCTACATAAATAATGCAAATGCAATGCTGACGTTTCCTTTTCCAAGGCTAGTAAAACACAGGGGAAGTACAACGGCAATCGCGCTTTGTGCATTTCAATTTTGTTCAGTTTTTCCAACAGCTTTCCGATGAACCAACAGATATGGTACATTTAGTCATTGTTCCGATAAAAGTCTAGCGCAGAAAAAAACCACATGAAGAAAGCCGCTTTGAAGGGGCAATAAATTTTGCTGCGCGCTTATCGCCTTACCGTTCAGTGCTTCCGATAATCTTTCAGCATGACGGTTGCTTTTGCGTTGCTACTATGCGCCCGCGTAGGATTCGTAGTTTCAGGTCTCTTCGACCAATTCCAAGAAGTAATCAAAACATTCCAAGTCGATAGCAATTTATCACAATAATTTGTCCAACTTTGGTCGCTTGAATATAAATAATAATGAAAAAAATGCGGAAGCAATATTTATTAAATTCAGGCCGCGCCATATTAAATGAGCTTAAAAATAGTATAAACGAAAAACGTTCATTATTATCTAAGTTTCTATATCTCAAGGAATTCGCAGAAAAATATCAGTTTAGATTACTCCGTCTCTTATTTATATATCTATATTTCAGGTTGGGCTGGTTCTGAATAAACTCACAGATTTGTTTTTCAAATCAAAATTCTATATATCAACCAGTTTCATTTTTATTTTAAATCATAAAAAACAAAAGTAAAGGTAAAAATATTCTAAATTGTGAGCATTCCACCAATTGTTCAAATTGGAAACTCCTTTTATAAATTTAAGTGGCTGTCTAAAACCTTGATTTAAGATAGTACATACATAATAATAATCCAATTAATTGGAATTATTTTAGATAAAAATAGGTTATCAATTTTATGTTGTAAGTTTTCAGGGTTCTCGTTGGTCCCAAGTCAACAAGCGTTGACCACATTCTTGCGTATTTATGAAATAGTAGTATAATATAAGTCGAATATATATATATATATATATATATATATATATATATATATATATATATATATATATATATATATATATATATATATATATATATATATATATATATATATATATATATATATTCGACTTATATTATACTACTATTTCATAAATACGCAAGAATGTGGTCAACGCTTGTTGACTTGGGACCAACGAGAACCCTGAAAACTTACAACATAAAATTGATAACCTATTTTTATCTAAAATAATTCCAATTAATTGGATTATTATTATGTATGTACTATCTTAAATCAAGGTTTTAGACAGCCACTTAAATTTATAAAAGGAGTTTCCAATTTGAACAATTGGTGGAATGCTCACAATTTAGAATATTTTTACCTTTACTTTTGTTTTTTATGATTTAAAATAAAAATGAAACTGGTTGATATATATATATATATATATATATATATATATATATATATATATATATATATATATATATATATATATATATATATATATATATATATATATATGGAATATAATTTAACTTTATTTGGAGGTAAATCAAAGTGTTGTCAGCCCAGATTCCTGGTCACGCACACTCTATCTTTATTCAAACAGTACCCCCGGGGGCAGAAGCATCCCTCAACGGCATATTCGGGGCAACTTCGGCTGACGCAGCTGTCCACGCAATCGTTGCTATAGGTGCAAACTTTCGGAGGTTTGCACGGACACGGCTGCTCGCAACGTACTGCAACAACTTACACAATCAATTTCCCTTACAAAAGAACAATAAAATCGTCCATGACATATCGATGTCAAAATGCTCGTAAAGAAAGCGTTAAATGTTTGACCGCAATCGCATGTTGCCGTTTCTGTTAGATATATACTGTATGAGTTCTCTCCTCTCAACTCAACAACAGATTACCAGAAACTAACCAAAACTAACCAAATACAAATCGGCAAATAGAGCAAATAGAGCAGGCAACATTGGATATAACGCTTTCTGGAAGAAAAGCAATGTCAGCACTTTCTATTGACAACTGAATACACAAAATCTTTTTATAGAAGCAAATATTCTTAATTCATTTTTCAACGCTTCGAAAATACTAAAACTTTCGGTTTGTTTAAAAATTTTGATGCGTTTTGTTTTTTTTTAAATTGCATTAACAATGGTTATAGAAATACATTTATTAATTATTGTAGTATAAAGTACGTTATAGTAAGTCAAAAGAACATAAATATAAAACAAATAAACAATAAATAAATTAAATCAGTTATAAATTACAATTAACGTATTCCTCAACCGAATAAAATAAATCAGCAAACAAATATTCCTTCATTGCTCTTCTAAAAATTTTATTAGTGCGTATTTTAAGAGGTGGGCAGCCTATTTATGCAGAATGTAATTCAGAAAATTAGAAACAGACTTCGACATTGTGTGCAACGAGATAGTGTTTAAATCATTCCTAAAATGATAAGAGTAATTGTTACTTGAAATTGGTGTGCCTTTTTACAATGAATTTCAATTAATGTAAAATACACAAAAATATAATACGTTTTTATGACGACGATAAAAAACACATTTTACATTTCAATCCATTTGTTTTTAAAATATTAGCAAAAAGTTGATTTTGTGTCCTAAATATTATGCAAGGCAATATAGAAAGATTATGTTAAGTGTTGTTTTAATTCACACATACACACACATAGTAACGACACGCTGTAATAAGTGGAACTCGATAAAACGTTTGGATTAATCTGAGATATTAATATAATAGTAATAACTTATTAAGCAAATAATATTAATGCTTTGTTTTACATGTGTCCGTGTCACTGACTATGATAGTATATTAGGAAACAAGTATGATTAACACCACTTTAGTCTCGCATTTGATTTCGGCACGATCAGAGTGAGGCTTTAATAAACAAGTGAGGGAAGAAGTTCATAAACTTATTCTATATTGTCCATTGTTCCAATCAGTCAGTGGCATATGACGGAAACCCATCAGAACTGACAAAGCCAAAATGCCACCAATGGTTAAAATCTACAGAAAATACCCGATCCCTCCTAAACCTATGCCAGAAGGACCGAAAACATCACATCGTATCATCTCTGATCAATATCAGTTTTAAAACCCCTTTTTCCCTAATCTTTCAATAAATCAACGCTGTAAGGATCAACTGATAAATCTATTTATTATAATTTCATTATTCCTATTTCCCTTCTATTGAATTAGTTAGATATTTTTTCTATCGTTCCAAAATTTCCATCAAAATTCAAGAAGCAGTGGGTCAATTTAAATTAAAATTTTAGCCAATTTAAAAATAAATTGGGTAAGCATAGGGATGGTCAATTTGATAGTCATTGTTGGACACTTGACAAAAGCTAAATAAACTTTCATTCATTAAATTACCCTACTTTCATAAATTAGCTGAAAGATACTTAATTCACAATGAAAAAATATCTTTTAGTGCAGTGAAAATAATAGGTGGCTTTTATCCATTTGTGTTTTCAGTTGCAGTAATTAGATACGATTATATGATATGCTAAATAGCAAATTAACATTTATGCTTACCGACATTAAGGAAAACGGCCAGCACAGCCAAACTTGCAAACTGACTTAACATGTCGCTCACCTATAGAAACAACGCCGCGATATCGTAAAAAAACACATTATGTATCTACATAAATAATGCAAATGCAATGCTGACGTTTCTTTTTTCAAGGCTAGTAAAGGACAGGGGAAGTAAAACGGCAATTGCGCTTTGTGCTTTTCAATTTTGTTCAGTTTTTCCACCAGCTTTCCGATAAACCAACAAATATGGTACGTTTAGTCATCGTTCCGATAAAAGTCCAGCGCGCAAAAAAACCACATGAAGAAAGCCGCTTTGAAGGGGCAATAAATTTTGCTGCGCGCCTATCGCCTTACCGTTCAGTACTTCCGATAATCTTTCAGCATGACGGTTGCTTTTGCGTTGGTACTATGTGCCTGCGCAAGATTCGTAGTTTCAGGTCCTTTCGACCAATTCGCTGCTTCCATCAGTTCATGTAAGCCACACACTATGACATCATTACTTATTACGTTTTAGTAAGAAGTAAATTTATCTAAAATAAAAATTTCAATCGTAGTTTTTTCGTTTAAACTTAGAATGGGTTATCGTCATTTCTATTTTTGTTTTGTCCCTTTGTCCCCATTTGTTATTAAATTGGTGATTCAATCATCAGACTCCAAATATATTGTTGAATAATGAAATCTTCAAGTTTGAGGTTTTCACTTCTCAGGTTTGAGTGTCCGATTCTTCCCACAACCAGGTATTTACAAAAAACGATTTTGTGCAAATATTGCATTTGGAGAGTACAAAGGACAAAGTTTGTCACATTTTTTGAAAAACGAGTTAACGGTGCTATTTTGTAGGCAACCGTGCGGTAAAATCTCTGCTAGAACTTTAAATATAAATCCACTGGATTACTTCTTATGGAGTTATTTAAAAAAATATTTATATCGTGAGACCCCGAAACAAAGAAATCCGCTACAGTTCATTCAGCGCTCAATACTAAAATTGTCGCAAATTGGATTGAAGCAGATCACCTAAAATTTGAATATTTTATATGATTCTAGGCTTCATTATTTTTACTGCATAGGATGATTTCCAAAACAATGCAGGTCTGTATTTAAAAAAATTAAGTTGATGATGGGCACACAAAACCGAAACGTCATACTTAATAATGCCAACTCGTAGGGAAGAAAAAGTGTTACTTGTTTTCAAAAAATATTTAATGAATGCGCAACTTTGCCTCCATATCGCAATAGGCCTCTTCGACACCCTGTACACGAGAACATTGTTCCCCTTTCGACATATTATGTCAGGTCGTAAGTGCTTTTCAGAATTTGTGCGTTCGTTCTAAATTCTAGCTATCGTTTTCTATGAATGGTCCAACATCTGGTAGTTGCAACCATTACGAGCGAGCTTTCTCTGGCAGACTTTCTTTGCGTTGCTCGACTATGGACGTGATACAGCCAGTTGTGGGTCTATTGTCTAGTCCTTGGAGGGAGGTTGTTTTTTTCGTTCCCCTCCAGTTTTCCCCACCATACCCACACATTCATGTCAACGCTACCTTATAACGATGCTTCTTGGCAGTTACTTTTAGTCTTCAAGGAGAACTGATGTTTTCTTTATTTTTTCTCCATTTGCAGTAACAGCAGGCGCAAACTCTCTAGCTCCCGATCTAAGTCCTTCGCAGCTCGGCGAGCCAGGTAATAGTCATCCATCTTTTAAACTAATCGAATGAAGTCAGGCGTTGCTGTTTTTTGCAGGTGGAAAACAGTGCGGAACGAACCAGATTTTTGATTGTACGTCGTGGCTGAGGAAAGACTGCACCAATAAACCCCTGTGGCCGATACTTATCAAGCCTCCATTCTGCGTGTTCAAGACCTGCGTGTGCGCCGAGGGATACGTACGAAGGTCCTTCCTCGACCCCACTTGCGTCGTACCCGAACAATGTTCGTAATCAACGTGAGATCTAAATAAACTTGTTGTTGCATTTTGTTGTTTTCTTATTTGCGATCTGCCAGTTAAGTGTAACGAGTACCTATTGTTTATACCGGTCGATCGAAAAGTGCGGTACGACAAACGTTGCGGTTGACCTAAATATGTATTATTACGTACGGTACATACAAGATAATGCGATAACATTGTCAATAACCATTCGATATTAACCTGCACAAAACACTTCAAAAACTGCTTCAGAACACTTAAGAGCAAGTCATCCCTGGCGCTGGAGGAATTTTTTCTAAAGTCGCGGGACAGTAGTTTTCGATATTCAGCATGAGCGAGTATTCGGTGGTCAGTGTCACCGCAGGTACGTGTAACTTGCGCCATTTTAGTGTCCAACTTATGTAATTATGGCTGGCAAATATATTTGTATTTATTTATGGTCGTACAAAAATTGGCACCTTCTTCTACTCATATCCGCACTTTTTTTTCGGTTAACTTTCTTGTTAAAAATTGGACAATCTTTAATTTTTTGCACGCACCATCGTATTTTGTTAACCTTTCTACATTGATGGATGATTTACAAATTGGCAAAAAATGGTTGTTACTCTTTGAGTTTAATTGAACGATTTAAACTATTGATGAAGATAATGAACATGATGCATTTATCGAGATTTTTCAGTTTTTATTGGAAAATTATAAAAACCTGGAAGAAGTGGAAAAAGTGAAAGCAGTCATAACAACTACCTTTTTTAAGTTATCTATTTTTCTAAATTCGAGTTTAGCAGTATTCATTTGATTTTCATATTTTAATTTTTTTTGTTTTTGACCCTTTGAAAATTCGAAAAAAGATTTACCACCCTCATTCCTTTAATATCGAAAATCGCACCCTAGGTTATTTGTTTATGGCACCGCATGAAAACTGTCCAAGAAAACTCCAATACCGACTTGTAAATGTAGCGAAAAAATAATCACATTTTTGAATTTTTTGACTAAAATGATGTGAGATTTCAGTCTAATTGATTCCGCAAACCCGTAATGTTTGAATTTTATTTAAGTTTGACATAGAATGTGATGTTTTAAATCTTCCTAGCACTAAACCATAGGCGCCCGTTAAAAAAAAGTAAATATTTTGATTTTTTTTTATTCGTTTTTCTTAATAATTTTGATTTTGTTAAAATTTAGCAACGTCATTTATACTGATAAGGGGCCAACTAAAATCTTTCAATATGATTATTGTTGACGAAAATATGTGCGTAACTGTTTTTTTCTCATTTGTATTTTTTAGATTGGACAAAAAATGTTCGTAGTCGGTATTCGGAAAAATTAAAAATGATCGCTGTAGCTAAGCTTTCGCAGAGGGTTTTAAATGGAATCGAACTCTTAATAATCCAAATTTAAAATTAACGGCACAAAAAATAAACATTTGAAAAGAATCTGGAACTTATTGAAACTACAAGTATTGAATTTCTCTAATGGTATTTCAGAGAACCTGTTTATTGAAATTTACAATTTCATTTTTCTAATCACGTTTTACTTTGCTGTAGCCTACATATTGTTTATATATCCCATGAATCTTGCTATATGCTAGTCATATAACGGTTGGAATGTATGCTTTAATAGGGCTATGCACATGTTAGAAATACAAAAAGGAATCTAGAAAATCATATATAAGATTTTTGGTTAGTTGATCTTGGTATTAACATCCACGACAGCATTTTCCTCAGTTATTCTTCCAAATTTTCCAAGTGATTTCTAGAATTATTTGATTCGTAAGAGACTGATTCTGTTGAGGGGCCTCCGGAATTAAGTATTACACAAAAGATATCAACAGCAATTAATGAGTTTTGTAGCAATTTTCTCCTAAACTTCTGTTTTTCCAGTTATTGCCGCCGACACAATATGGTATTTGTTCACACCACTATACAGTGAGAAGTACGTAATGTATGTTTTTCGTAACGCGAGTAAATCGGAGCCATGACCTAAAGTGACACTTTCAAAATGCAAACAATACAAGAAATACATAATAGGACAAAAGCCTAAATACTTTTGAAATTCAAGATTTCTAACAGCCAAATACTACTTCGCTCTGAATATGTTTTTACTTCAATATGCGCACTAATAAAAAATTTTTTCGGTCGCGATTTGAGAATCTGTCCCAGAGTCCCAAAAGCATCTGTCCTAGGGCCACTTTTCTTCATTATTTACATAAACGATTTCCCTTCATGTATTAGTCACATCAAATGTACAATTTTTGCTGACGATACGACAATAATTTATTCATTTAAGAAACTCGACTTTAACCAATTTAGAAGAACTAACTTATGGGGTTGAGTTGAAGGCTCACTCTTTGTTTTCGTGTAACAATTTATTTTTAAATAATCATAAAACACAAAAACTTTTAATTGCAACCATTGCATCTCTTACAAAGCGTCACGTGATAGCGTCACTCTCCTTGACGCTTGGTGCTCATATTGATGTTCTATGAAACAAATTAGCATCTATGCTTTTCGTGCTTAGAAAGTCGAATAACACACTTATTACGAACATGCTAAAAAAAGTCTATTTTGCATTATTCCATTCTAAAATATATTATGCACTTATACTCTGGGGATATTCTAGCCACGCAATAAGGGTTTTTAGACTCATGTCGACCTTATAATACAAACTATATTTTACATTCAGGCATTCACAACTGCGTCTACCTGGTTATCGTTTGACCCAAAATTAAAAATAACTCTTTAAATTTATCACACTACAATGCTCTTCTAGCAAATATTCAAGCTTTGAGTGAAAAAGCTTTTCAGAGAGCAATCAAGCCAACTAACAAAACTAAACTAACTAACTAAAAATTTGCTAAATTGACGTTTCTTTGCAGCCAATTTCTTAGCGTTCGTCTGCTGCTCGGCGCTTTCTTGGACTTCACCAGAATTACCGAAACTAGTCAACTCGACGGACAGCCCATTCTACCATGACCTATCCAACGAACAGCAATCGTGGATCGGCGCGTTTCTACCCCTCGGTGCCATTTTTGGGCCCATCATTTTCGGCTATTTGTCGGATCGTTTCGGTCGCAAGGCCACGCTGCTCTCGATATCGGTACCCATGCAGGCCTGCTTCCTGATGCAGGCCTTCGCCAAAGAGATCTACCTATTCTACATAGCCAGATTCGTCACCGGCGTAGCCGTCGGCGGATCTTTCACCGTCTTGCCGATGTACATCGCCGAAATGTCCCTCGACCATCATCGGGGGGTACTAGCTGTGAGCATGAGCGTGTTCATCTGCATGGGAGTGCTCTTCTGCTACGCAGTGGGCCCTTACATGAGCATAGTAGCGTTCAATTGTTTATTGGCAGCGATAGCCGCATCCTTCTTCGTCATATTCTTTATCGTCGGCTCCGAGACACCTCATTACCACGTCTTCAAGAACCAACACGATCGCGCGAAGGAAGTACTGTTGCGGATACGCGCGCAAAGCGACGAAGCGACCGAAAAGGAGCTCGACCAGATCAAACACGTCATCGAAAACGAGGAGAGCGCAGGCTTCGTCGATATATTCACTGTCAAGGGACTGAGAAAAGCGGAAATCATATCCTCGGCACTCCTAATCTTCCAGCAATTTTCCGGCATAAACGCGGTACTGTTTTACTCCGAGCAAATCTTCCAGAACGCGGGCAGCTCGTTGTCGGGCGAATACTGCGCCATGATTGTCGGAGTGGTGCAGCTGATATCATGCGTTCTGACGGCCTCGCTGGCTAACGTCTTCGGCAGAAGAACTCTACTCGTATTGTCGGGTTTCGGAATGGCCCTGGCCGAAGTTACTCTCGGGACGTACTCGTACCTCGACAAGAACGGTACCGACGTCAGTGCGATGTCGTTTTTGCCGATAGTGTCGCTCGTAGTGTACATCGTCATGTACAATTTCGGTTTTGGTCCTATATCGTGGACGGTGCTCAGCGAGATGTTTCCCACCAACGTTAGGGCTCTCGCTACTGCTTTGAACACGAGTCTATGTTGGGTGACGAGCTTTTTCATCACCAAATACTTTTCGACGGTGTCGGACAGCTTCGGGATAGGCGTGTGTTTCCTGGCCTTTTCCGTCGCTTGTTTCGCAGCAGGACTGTTCTCGTACTTCTGCGTATTGGAAACGAAAGGGAAGTCGCTGAAGCAGATCCAGGACGAGCTGAACAGTTAGCCCAGGAAGAGGGTTTTTTTCGAAAAAAAAATCCCCGTCCGTTCGATCGTTATTTATTCGCTAATATTTATAAACGTGACGTCGTTCTTAATGTATTTTCTCGAGGTGATATCGTTTCTTTATCGTTATGCAAATGGCTGTGGAGTTGTTTGATAAGATTCAATCGCAGTTGTTATTCGGTTATGCACAATAAATTTGTATTACGAGCCAATGATTTTAATTTTCCTTTGAAAGTCAAAAGGTGAGATTAGATAAAATTTTGGTTCGCCAATGGTAGTCGAAACGTTGACGCAACTTTCCATATCTTCTTCTCGGGCACTACAACTCATCGTGAGTCTTGGCCGCGTTTACGATCCCTGTCCAATATTGTCCAATCTGTGTACTGATTTCCCATTGTCTTATCCCCATTTTCTTAAGGTCTTCAGCAAATGCATCCTTCTACCTTTTGCGGGGGCGTCCTACTGACCTTTTCCGTCTGGCCTTTCTCAAAACGCATTGTTCATGAGGCGATTGTCTGCGCTTCTTACTGCATGTCCTGCCCATCTTAGGTGATTACCTAATTACCGATTACCAATTCCTCTAATTTTTAATTGTGCCTGCGTCTTCATTCATTGGTGTTTATATTTCTATACGGACCGTATATAGTTCGTGGTATTTTACGTTCTCACACTAACGATTTATTTATTTCTCTTTGATTTAGCGCCTGAGGCATGGTTTCTCTATTCCAAGCTGCTTGGATGATTTGGTGCACTCTATCTAAGAATATAATTCAATTTAACCTTCATTGAAAATGTTCTAGCATTTCTATTGTTTTTGTTAAATGAAGTAAAAGTTATTTAGGCATTTTCATTTCAAATTTAAACATTTTTTAAGAAATATATTGCCGATAAATGAAACAAATGGCAACGTCGCAGTTAGGAACTATTACAACAGCGTTGTTGTATGAGTGCACAGATCAAAAGTCCAGAATTTGATTTCTAACGTTATAATTCCTGAAAATACTTTTATACTAACTATAAGCAGGTTTTAATAATTCATTTACTAAATTTATTTATTTATTTTCCTTATTTATTTCAAAGCAATTAGGTTTTTACGACATAGTTAACAAAATACGGCCTGACGACGCACAGTGGAGCATTGTGCGTTCATTATCATGGTTTATTATTAAAATAATTCAACAATATGTACAAATTTAATGAAGTCTGAGGGCGAGCTCGTGAGCTTCCGACACTGTAGATCATCAGCTATTGATTGCTAAGTTGGAATCCTACGGAATGAGGGCTACTTGTTCGAGACTTTTGCGATCATACCTATCAAGACGCCAAGAATATATGCCAATTGTCTTACCAAGTGCTTTAATAGGGAAGTTATTGGCCACTATGACGACGATACTTACATAGTATTATCTCGTGTATTGTAAAAATAATAAGACAGTCCTGGATTGACTTGATTATGGTAGTATAATTTGGTCGCTTTTTTATACTAATGATATACTACAGTTGACTGAAAAAATAAAAAAAAATCTTCATTTTGCCAAATATATTCTAAACGGAGAACCTGTTACTTATGTCAACAACTTAGAATGTTATACAATTTTAACACTGCACAACAGAATAACTGTTATATTTAGAAATATAAAAGCATTGTTTGCAAAATAACTAGCATATGTATTTCGGAATGCTGCTAATGTGATCGAATTATTTTAATTGAACGATTTCCTGAGCATATTCTTTCTGATGAAGTATTTTTTAAAGCATATTCTAAGTAGTACTAGTCAGATTCTATGTTAATTAAAAGGAAATTAGAACTTCCTATTGGGCCTTGAGCCTGTAAGTTGATTTAATAATAATGAAAATAATGAGAAGGAATAATGTTTCTGATTGTAAATTGCTTAAAACTCCATCTACTTCGACCCATCGGACTGTTCAACGCTTACTCCTTCAAAACCCAACAGAATATTAGTCTAGAAAACTGTAGGAAAGATCCCATTTCGAAATCAACGTTGTCAAATTTTTTGAATTATATGTTTTGTGAAAATTTTTGTGATTCTGTTCATAATGATTGTGAGCGCTGTGATTTGAAAAAAAAGCTTTTTTAGGAAACGAATAAAGAACAGACCGGACTTTAAAAATAAGAATTAAATTACTAAAATTTGTCTCAGAATAGAAATTTGTGATGCTTGATATCTTCAACTTTTTATTACATTACCACTACCCTAGTTCTTTCTATTTTATGTAGTTTTATGTGAGACACAATGTATTGGTATTCAAGTTAGGCGCCCCGCGGGCGTCCAAGCACTTAGGCCACCAGATGGGCCTTTGTGCCCTCTGACCGCTCTAGAGGATGACCAGAATGCCACCCCTCCTATAGAAGGTCAGCAACTCATTTAGCCCAATACCGTGCACTGAGTCCGGATCGATCAGGGCCGTTCCGAAGGCTCCAAATAATGCCCATGTCAAAGCAGAGCACTCGATAAGCAAATGGTACGGGGTCTCCTCTCCTTTAATGCACCACGTGTCTCCGGGTCTACTCCGATGCCCAGCAAGCAAAGATGCCTACTAAGTCTTCAATGTGCGCACTGACTTCAGCGCCATAAGTGCAACCCCACTATCAGAGCAGAAGAATACTCTTCTGCTTCAGTGGTTCAGCAGGAGCACCTCTCTGGCCGCCATCAATACAGCGAAAATTTCAACCTGAAATACAGTGCAGTACTGACCCAGAGGGACCAGTAAGCTTGATCCCGTTGTCTCGCAGTACGCTCCAGCTCCGGCCAAATCTCTCATTCTGGACCCGTCCGTGTACGAGACAAGTCTATCCCAGGAGCCAACTCTGCCCTCTCTCCACTGTTCCCTTGATGGGAAGAGAAGAAGGTCATCTCCGAGATCATGACGTCACTCGGCATGCCCATGGTACCGCGATCCCCGGGCCAGCCCACTAAAATGTCGTACGGGCCCCGATTGAAGGTCTCTCTCTCCAGAGCCCGGAGCTCGCTAGCCTGACAGTTGTCCTGGCCGCCTCCATCCGCACCCGATCCGCCAAAGAGGGCAAACCCACCAGAGCATCTAGGGCTCTCGTGGGTGCCGTCCTCATGGCGCCCGTTATCCGGAGGCAAGCCAATTTCTGCAGTTTGTCAGGAACTAGCCTTGCTCCTGCTCTTTTGGTCCCCGGCCACCATGCCACTGCCCCATGCATGAGCATAGGCACCACCATGGTACCGTAGATCCACTGCATGATCTTTGGCCCCAGGCCCCAAGTGACCTCTACCGCTCTCCGGCACGCCCACAGAGCTCCAAAGGCCGACCTGGTTCTTGATCTTATATGTTCCTGGAAGGTCAACTTGGAGTTTAACCATACTCCCAAATACTTGACGCTTCTGCTTGCAGAAAGACGCACCCCATCCATCGAAATGTTGAGGTTACGCTCCACCTTCCTTTTCCTGGTAAAGATGACCGTCTCCACCTTGCCAGGATTGACAGCTAACTTGCTGTCCCGGCACCATTGTGTCCATCCCCTGTGTCATTATCAAAAGGTCGTCTGCATATGCCTGAGCATAGACCCCGTGTTTTTCCCTCAGAATATGCAATATCTCGTTCACCACTAGGTCCACAGGAAGGGGGACAAGACCCCACCCTGTGGACAGCCCTGTGATGAGCCGATGGAGACCTGCTCCCCACCCAGTGTTGCCTCAACCCTCCGGTCGGTTAGCATGGAGCGGATCCATTTTACAATGGCGGTCCTCACTCTAGTACGCTCCACAGATCGCATACAGGGCTGTATTATTGAAGGCCCCTTCGATGTCAGCGAAAACGCACACCGACAGCCGTCCCGAGCCTATATCCTCCTCCAACCTGGAAGTCTCTCTAGAGTTTTCATAATGAAGCTAGTGAGGCAAACGGGCCGGTATGACTTCAGGTTCGTCTAGTTGTTCTTCCCTACCTTGGGGATGATCATTATCCTGCTGTGTCTCTACAGCTCGAGCACGTATTTCCTCGCAATGGAGGCTCTGAACAGATCCATCAGCGGGCTGGTCAGGAGACCTCCGTCCTTTTCCAGCAGAGCCGGAAATCCTCCATCCCCTTCCGCCGACTTCAAAGGGCCCTAGCTGTCAATAGTCCACCTCAGTCTACTATGGGTAACCGCCCTCATTGCCGTGGCGTAGTCGCATCTAGACGAACTCCGGCTTCAGCATTCTCCCCTGTATCCAGATCGGCGGACCCTGGGAAGTGCGTGGTCAACAACTGTTGTAGTTTGCCCGCTGGTCTTGCGTGTAGGCACCGCCGGTCTTGAGTACCCTAAGAAGCCTAGCTGTGTCCGGGTATTCATTACTCCATCGCAGTAGCCCCTCCAAGCCTTCCTCCGTGATGCCCGTAGTTCCTACGGACCTCCCTATAGAGATCCCAGTTCGCACCTAGCTGGTTGCTCTTCGCTGTATTGAACAGCCTCTGCACCCTCCTCCTGAGACGCTCCAGGGAAGAGCTCAGTTCAGCTATTCTCGAAAGCCCGTATCACAGCGGAGCTGACGCGGTCGGCGGCCTCGTCAATTTCCTCTAATTTCCTGTGTTTTCTTGGTAAACCCCCTAAGCGCAAAGCGAGCTCCTCCCTATAGAGTTTCCAGTTTGTTGTCCGGTGGTTCCTAAATCTAATGGGTTCCCGAACACCCATTTCCAACCCAAAGGTGATGTATCTATGATCCGACATAGAGTCCTCCCCACAGACACACCACCCAGTTATTTCCGGGAACAGATCCCTGGTACCGACCCGTCGTGTACACAGAGGAAGATTCGCCTCCTCACAGTAGGAGACCAAGTAACTGATCTCCTTCGGAGGACAGCTGCGGTCGCCTGGAAAGTACGCAGAGGCGACGACTACCTCTATCACGCCGTCCCGGGTGGGGAATCTGGCCAGATTTGGAACCTGGTTCCTGGACGCCTTGTCCCACAGGAAAAAGGCTTCCAGCCCATGGTTATTATGCAGGCCCTGGGGTCGCCACTATGCAGCATCGGCATGTGAGGGTCTTGATGCTAGCCTCAGCCAGAGGTAGCACCTCCCTACGCTTCCGCTTCCTGACTGGTGAGTGGCAATCTAGGGCATTCGGAGCTGGCAGGCAGCGGACCAGTGCCTCGTTTGAGACACCCGTCCCCAGGCGCGGAATCCAGATCGCCGCCCTTCTGAGCTTCAATCCTTTTGGATTTTTTTTTATCAACCGATTTAAAGCCAGTTGGCACCATGAAGCCCTTAGCCACGACACGACAGCTAGACAAGGTGAGCTCTGGTCCACGACTGGTTATTTATTCTCACCCACCCGGGATCGTGAGAGCCTGGGCTCCCCTATCCGCTACCCGGAGACGCGCCTCATGGATTGCTCAACCACAGAGCAATGGTTCTAAACAAAAGGCCCCACAAAAAATTAACTCTTAGCGAATCATGTAAATATTAGACAGTGTAGATAAACTCGAAAGTATCTGTAAAACTTCAGGAAATTTTTGAGAACCTGGATACACAATTTTTCATTTCATTTTTAAAGGTTTGTGGCGAGAAAATTGTAAGTTTCGCGCTGTGGTGCCGCAAATTGGCTCACCTAAAAAACCGTGATGTGAGTGATTGTGACAGTTATATAGTCAAGAAAAATAAGCACCGAGCAGAACAATTTTCAAATCTTTTCCCGTTATAAAGCAGTGGACCCAAAAAGCGCAAATGGATATTCTCTAGAAGAGAACTTTTAATATTTTAATGCAGAGTTATGTCCTTGCCCCCTAGCTGCACAGCAATGTTAAAGAGAATTATGGGTTGAGCCTATTTGCGGCACAGAAAAATTACAGTCTCACACTTTCAGAATTTCAAAGGAGACATTGCAGATTCGCTGTAAATCATAGATCTAGAAAATTACTTAAGATATTATCTATGAAAAGATCATTTTTTCTTTTATTTCCAGATTGACATTGCCTTCTCAGTTGCCTATGAAAATTCTGATGGTTTGGTGACTGGCTGGGAACTAAGTTGTGGAAAAAAATTAAAATGTGAAGAGTTTATTACAAAATTAAAAAAAATAAATAAATTACAAAAATTTAACCAAGACGTGATTCAAAGTAAGTGTAAGTGAAATAAGCTGTCCGAATATAGAGTATTCTTTGTTTCGATTTTTTTCTTCATTTTACTTTTATAAGCCCGCCATGTACTTCTGAGGGAACGTACAAAGGTACCTCTGGGGAGTGGGTCATGGTACAATGGAGTAAACTTAAGACAAGCGTCGGTTTTCGGCTTAGTTTTCGGGCATAACATAAATTTTAAGGCAAAACGATGTTATTTTATTTTTCGGTGGACGCCATTATGCAGCAGTGCTGTGAGCATTGCATCGATATTTTGCACCTACGGGCGAAACAATAGAAAAATACATAACAGAAAAACGACAAACAATAAAGGACAGAATCTAAGACTCTCAGCAATCATTTCTATACGTAGCAAAAACCACTCAGGAAATTGAAGAACGGATAAGTGTTTTAAAATCTAGAAATACAGCAATCCAACCGTTCCGTTTTGCAATAGGTGGCGACATAACGAATATTTAAGGAAATATTTACCCATTTCGGTGGTATCAAATACAAATTTTTTAATATAATTAGAACTGTAGATATTTGCTTTATTTTTTTTTATATTTTTAGCATTATTTTTCAGGAAGAATGTGTTCTGCTCGTTTATTGAAATCTATTTTTATAAAATGAAGCCTTGCGCTACCTTTATCAAAATCCATGGTTTCTGCAACCTTTTAGAATGTAAATAAAGTGAGATTGAAAGGTTTAAGGGTATTTCTTTCTAGTTGAACAAAGTTTTAAAAGGTTTTTTCACGATCGATCTTGAGTTTGGTTTCCTCGAAAAACACAAATGGGTTGTTTTTAGGTCTTAAACATTTCGGAGAATAGTTTTCAGTTTTCAATATTACAACCTATTATTTTTACTCTATTACTTTACATTTTGTATATTATTATTTTGAAAACTTTCAAATTGACACACTGTGCCTTGGTTATTTTCAACTTTTTTACAGGAATTACTGAGATGTTATGTTTTCATTATCTAAATCAACAACTTTAAAATAGTCCGGTTTGACGAAGTAGCCTGAAACGGTGCACACAAAAAATCGGTTTGAGTTTTTTATTATTTTTATGTGATAATCACAAAATTGCGTTTGTTTTCCTAGTTGTAGAAAGGTATAAATCTACCACGACGACCATTTTTCACTTTAACGAACGGCATAATTTTTCCTGCGGCACTTAATTAGCGTAAAATATAGGTAGCTCGGGAAAAAAATCTCCAAAAAGCGTAGACAGCTCGATAACCTGAACATCTATAAAAACATGGGCTCTTTCTTAGAAATAAATAAAACTCGTCATTTTTGAGCAACAGCATGAAGGCAATCGCCATAATTTTGACGGCAGCATTCATAGTGGCCGTGTATTCGGAGAACTATACGGATAACTCAGAAAACATAATTGCTTCGAGCAATATCTTCATCGAAGACGAGCCAGGTGAGCAGGTCGACTTTTGAAAATGATAGATTTTGGTTGTTCAAAAATCGATGACAAAAAAAATTCCTGCTGGAGGTGTCCGGAGAAGTTCATAGAAGATATGTTTAAGCGAATAACGTTATTTCCTATTGAATATGAGTTTTTTGAATTTTAATAATATTAATACTCGACAATAAGACTCTCAATAGTAGTTTGTCATTGTGTCAATGAAATCGTAATGGTTGCAATTATTAATTATGCAACAAGTAAGTAAAGTAAAAATATGCCATTTCCATTGCGGCTCCCTCGCTGAGAAATATTTTAAAGACGTGCTCTGGCAAACAATTACGCGCTAAACAGTGGTTTAAAAAAATGTTGCAAATTGCGATGTGGGTGTAATTTTGTCCAATTTTGGTTTCAAACTTGTATTTATTGTTATTTTTATTTATTGCTTTCATTTATTAGCTATACAGTAGTAGCGTTAATGTATTGACCTTGGTGCTGTGCAAATGAGAATAAGAATAAGCAAATGCGCAATCGGCATTTCGTTAATATTTGTGGCATTACCTCAGCTAGCAACATCGTAGGCCGCAGCTGAGTGTGTATACATAACGTAATGGGAAGTCTCTAAATTTTTAAAAGAATTTAAAAACAAAACCCTTTCAAGAAAAAAATTGAAGCTATAGGCATCAGCTGCAATCGTTATAAATTTATTGTAAGAAGTTGCAAATATTGCGCCGCAGATAAAAGACTTATTTTTGTCCAATAAAGTAAACATATTGGCACCCCGGATTATAGTATTTAGCTGGTTGTTATAAATAAAACTAAAAAGACATATTGGAAAAACAAAACGGATGTTTACCCTTCACTTCCATCGCTTTGATTGCCGTTTTTAACAAGTTATGATATTTATTATTTTGAACAAATTTTTGCCATATTTTGATTACTTCATTCATTATTTAAAGCACGTAATCTATTTTGGCCCTTTTTTATATCTTTGATTGCAGAGCTTTTGCGATGGAAAGCTTTGGCTAGCTACACTTTTTTTTCATTGAAAAAAAAAAACTAACCAATTTTTAGAAATTATGTATTTAATCTAGCACTAATGTCAAATTTTGCTGTTGTTACTTCTACCTTTTTAGAAAGTTTCAATTTTGATTGTAGAACAAATAAACAATTTTATATTTAGTTTTTTTTCATCATGCTTTATCTTTCAAATGAAAATTCGTCATATACTAGGTGTTTCATGAACGTTCCGCCAATTTGTAGTTTAATATGAAATACTAAAGCATTTATTCATTTTTGGTTAGTTTTTGTCAGTTATTTTTGATAGATTTGAGGTTTTATCAAATAATGCGGACCGAAGTAATAAATGAGCAAACTATCTCAGGGAATGATTTCAGAAACAATTATGAAGTAGAAATATCGTAAATTATTTTGAATTTATATTTTGAAAGCATTAACTTTCGTGGGCGAATCAAATCAATTTCTGGCTTATATTTCGTTCATAAATGTTTATTCATTCAGGTATATTAAACCGATTCAGAAATAATAAAAAAAACATTTTTTGGAACTCTTTAAACTTTTTTTTTCTGACAAATGCTTATTAACCAAAGTAAAGCAATTTTTTAATATTATATTTACTCTACAAATTAGAAAAAAGCTTTTTGAAACATCCGGCGTAAAATGATAATAGTAATATTTTCGGAGCCTTCGTATAAACAAATATAATAATAATAATTAGACATTCATTATTATTAATTTTACAAAATATTTCAACCAAAAGAATAACCCCCCGTGATATCAGCATCCCAGCTACGATGAGTGCTGTTAAGGATGCAGAAATCAATAAGAATATTGCATTGGTTCATTTTACTAATGTACTGGAATAACAGAGCACCGGAGACGCAGAACAAGTAGTATGGCATAGTAATTTTTTTTTGCTTTTTAATAAAATACGAAACTTTATTTCTAAGGTATGATATTGCAAGTCAAACCTTTCTTGAATATTTCTTCCGAATGGTTAAAATATTTCTCCTTCTATACGAACGTTAATTTGTGCTTTCTAGAGTCTGATTTTTTTTTTGCTTGTGTTTTTCACGACAAGAAGAAAAATGTAGGCACCACGAAGAGCGTCGGTGCGCTCCTCCTCTCAGGAAGGATTGCTGGAATAAATTCTTGTGGCCCATCATATTTGATCCGCCGCGATGCATCTTGAAGAGCTGCGTGTGCGTAGATGGGTACGTCAAGGCCACGCTGTTCAACAGGACCTGCATTCGAGCCGACCAATGCAGTTAATATTGACATGAATTGATGTAAAATATAAAAATTAATCGAATGCAATGACTCATTTCTATACCTTTTCCTACAAGTACAATTGGGGCCAATAGCACTAAGAGACTTGGGCTGATACGCGGGCCTCCAGCAACTACCCTTAATGCAGAATTTGTCTGTAGGTCAGCTAAAAAAGTCAGAGGCCATGGAAGCTACCATTTTGATTAGAGTGAAGTTAATTGGCATTCAGATCGCTTTACTACTACTTGTGTCATCAGACCATAACAAGTGAACTTTTTGAAATTTGGGTGAACAATTCTCTTCCTCCAAATAATAGACTATGATAATGCTAGCCAAAGCAGTATCAACGATTAGCGGCATAACAACTATTTGAAGTTATAAGAATTAAATCGTATTTCGTAGACAATATACATTTAAATTAGCACCTTATCACTGCGATTTGAATCCTGTGGAAATGGTATCCTCCGAATTAAAAAGTTAAAGTTAAACGTAATAATTAAAATTCAAAATTGTCCGCTCATGTAATTGATATAATGGAAAATGGAAATTCGGTGTGGATTATTACCAGAAAGGAGTTGGAAAGTGGAAAATAAATCTATGATATAAAATTGAACTTAAGTTTTTCAAAATAATTCCGAACGCCTAAACCACCGATTGGATAGAGTTCGTTCTAACCGCAACCACAATACATGTTTGCAACATTTTACCAAGGAGTTTTAATGTTGCAATTATTGGGAACAACGTTAAGTTGTCATATCTGGGGGTGATAATGTAAAACTTGGTTAATGATTTTCACAGCTGGCAGAAATATAATATTTAAGGAAGTACCATATTCTCGTCCTATGCAATCACTGACAAATTTCGTGATCTCAAAATATGAAAATACAGCTCCGCATAAAAGTTACATGGGCATCCGACTTCTATGTTCTATGTAAAAGTGGCTTTAAGCAAGAACCAGGTTCAGCCGATTCAAATCGCTCGTCACAACAACATTTAAGAATTGACTAATAACATAAGATATTCAATTGCAATGTTTTCTTATTTTAGAATTTCTCTACGTATAAAGCATTTTCGATGTACGCGTGCGAATATTTTAACCTCAATTAAACTACGGGTTAAGTGCTTGTTTTCTGATGCTCGGCTCCAACATTGCAAAAACCTACTTTCCTCTGGTGCTCGTCCACTTGACTACCGAGTCGACAATTATACCAGTAAGGTTCGCACTTACAAGGCAGATGCAACTATGCAAGTAATATCGGCAATATACATGGTGTCCAGAAAGGGATGGAAGCGTACCCGGGAAACCATAGTGCTTTTTGCATACGCGCTTATTATCGCAATGGTCATTCGATCGTGTCAGGTCAACGTTTATATCGTGCAGACTTTAATGTACGGAAGGCACCGAAAGACGATACCATCCGAAGATGGATTCGAATGTTTGAAAATACCAGTTCGACTGTGAAAATTCACCATCCAGGTCGCCCACGCTCTGTTCGAACCCAACAAGCGATTGAACCAGTGAGAATTTCTGTGCATCAAAATCCTTCTCAAGCAGTTCGCAAACGAGGTCAAGGCGTTAACATTAAAAAATCGTCGTTGCACACTATTTTGAAGAAAGACTTACATCTTACAGCCTACAAAATTCAGCTAATGCAGGAACTGAAACCTACCGACTATCCTCGTTGACTCAGTTTTGCAAATGAACTGCAAGACCGGCGAGGGCGACCACTTACGGTAAATAGTGAGCGGTATTGCGTTATGTTACGGAACTTTTTGGCTTCACAATTACAGGAGTTTGAGTTTAATGGGGAGACATGGTTTCAACAAGATGGGGCAACTTGCCACACTTCAAACTAATCGCTTGCGGTTGTCACTCAACTTTTCCCAGAAAAAGTGATCTCTCGTCGAGGAACCATCAACTTCGGTCACCGAGTAGCGTATTCGCGTTGCGTTGTTGATGCACGGAGTAGGTTATTTTTATGCTTTTTTTGTCATTATTTATATCGATTGATTTTTTTTTCGCTACCCCCGTTAGCGCAACTTTTGCCTACCATTATTAAGAATTGTATACTAAGTGTTTATCCGTTTGTTTCATTATGTCGCTTCGTTCATTTATCTTAACTCTAAAATATTGTTTTGAGGAACTATGTGGTAGACTCTAATTTTGTAAGTATTTCTCACGATTGTTTTAATTGTCTGTTATATAGTTTGACCTGTTGTTTTCATTAAATTTTAGTTCACTCCTGAAGAAGTCAACAAATAAATTGACGAAAGAAGACGACAGAAGTTTAGCAAGGAACAATAATAGAAGAATTTTCCTCTTACGTTGCAGAAAATCCAGATTGACACCTAGACACATTCAAGATAGTGGAAAGAAGATACATGGACTTTTGCTTGTTTAAAGTTTAAAAAAAGGTTAATAATGACAATCCCATTATTAAATAGAAGAATAATGGCAATCCCATTATTGAAAAAAAAGAGAGGTTAATAATGGCAATCCCATCATTAAGTAGAAGAATAATGGCACTCCCACTATTAAAAAAAAGGGGGTTAATAATGGCAATCCCATTATTAAGTAGAAGAATAATGGCAATCCCATTATTGAAAAAAAAAAGGTTAATAATGGCAATCCCATTATTAAGTAGAAGAATAATGGCAATCTCATTATTGAAAAAAAAAGAGGTTAATAATGGCAATCCCATTATTAAAAAAAAAGAGGTTAATAATGGCTATCCCATTATTAAGTAGAAGAATAATGGCAATCCCATTATTGAAAAAAAAAATTAAATCATGTTACAATAGCAATCAGACAACGGGGTTGCTATTGTAACATGATTTAATTTTTTTTTTCAATAATAGGATTGCCATTATTCCTCTACTTAATAATGGGATTGCCATTATTAATCTCACTCTTTTTTTTAATAATGGCATTGCCATTATTAACCTCTTTTTTTTTAATAGTGGGATTGCCACTATTCTTCTACTTAATGATGGGATTGCCATTATTTACCTCTTTTTTTTTTAATCATGGGATTGCCATTATTCTCCTACTTAATAATGTGATTGCCGTTATTAACCTCTGTTTTTTTAATAATGGGATTGCCATTATTCTTCTACTTAATAATGGGATTGCCATTATTAACATCTTTTTTTTAATAATGGGATTGCCATTATTCTCTTACTTAATAATGGGATTGCCATTATTAACCTCTTTTTTTTTAATAACTGGATTGCCATTATTCTTCTACTTAATAATTCTTCTACTTAATAATGGGATTGCCATTATTAACCTCTTTTTTTTTTCAATAATGGGATTGCCATTATTCTTCTACTTAATAATGGGATTGCCATTATTGTTCTACTTAATAATGGGATTGCCATTATTAACGTCTCTATTTTTTCAATAATAGGATTGCCATTATTTTTCTACTTAATAATGGGATTGCCATTATTAACCTTTTTTTTTTAAACTTTAAATAAGCAATGAAAAAGTAAATAATCGTACGTTACCGACTTTTTGTGAATTCGTAGACGGCCATGCACGCAGTTGTTCATGAGCAGCTACGCCGTCCCTGTTCTTGTAACGCATATCAGTCATTAGGCACTGCACGTACTCTGTGTTTCGGTTTCAATTTTCCTCTGCCGGCTAGCTGAGCAACTTCAACAGCCACAAGGACCTAAAGTCTCTGCAACGGCTTTGTCTGGATCAACAAAGTTATCGTTCGGTGACGCGTCTAATAGGAGCTGCTGATTAACCAGCAATCTCTGCTTTCTTCTATGGCAGGAAGTACCACAGTCCAATTTTTTTCTCCGTAGTCAAAGTTGTTTTCATAGTTCATTCATAGTTCAAAGCAAGCGCATTAGTGGCTAGCGAGTGCATAAACTACATCTTCCAGGTTCTGCATGGCCTCCTCAATGCTTATTGAAGCGCCAGTTTTTATTCTGGTGTACCAACTGTGATGTGTTTTGATCCTTCTTCAATTTGCATTCAATAGAAGGCGGATTTCATATCTAGTGTAGTGAAGTATTTTGCATGGCAGAGAGCATTGATCTGATCTTGAATAGGCGGAAGCGGGTATCTTGCTCTGACGACTCTGTTATTGACATCACGTAGGTCCACGCACATTCGAACTTCACCATTCTTTTTTGATACTAGAACTATCGGGCTTTCATATTCTGAGCGACTTTCACGAATTATACCCGCACTTAAAAGGTCATTAACTATTGTCATAACTTGAAATCTTTCTTGACCTATTAGGTCGATATGCCACAGTGTCCTTTAAGTTTATTGTTATTTCATCAGTCATAATCTTGTCGGTAGTTTTATTTTTGTAAAACAATAAAAGACTTGCTATTCTTAATTTCGAGTCCTCTTTCAAGTCAGGTTGATTAATCACAACCCTATCCACACTTTTTAAAGTCATTACGTTCGAAATATTGAGCAGATTATGGTGCATTTCGAGCCCAAAATTGTTTTTTTCCATTCGTAAACAAGGTCGGCTGATGACATCCCATCCAATAATTAGGTCAATGTTCGCTGGCATAACAATATCCGGTAGGACCGCATAAGTAATATCTAAACTCAACGTCGGCATAACAGTGATTAAATTACAAACACCGATAGCATAAACAATTTGGGTCCCAAATCCCGAGAAAGCACGGACCTTATCGACTGTTTTGATTATCGCCTTTAACGTTTGAGCTACAGAATGCTTTATAATAGATCCATCGGCACCATTATCAATCAAATAAGAAAAAGAGAGAGCACTATTTTTGCACAATAAAGTCGCTGTTGGTGTTACGTTCAAATGGCGTCATTTTTTTAATAAAAATGTCTTTTTGGGTATCCCATTCTTATACCAACAATCACTTTCACCGTGGCCAATTTTCTTACAATTGTTGCAAGTTGGGACTTTGGATGTACCTGGAGCCTCTTCTCGAACTACGTTTGATGCCTCGTGTTTATTGTGACAAGTATCACGATAGTGTCCTTGGCGGCCACATTTAAAAAATGATCCTTTTAAAATCTTCTTGGATT